TAGTAACAATATTTTTATATTACATTTATCCATTTTAAATACACTAACCTCACTCCTTTGTAATAACTACGGCAAAAATGTAATTAATTCAGGAAATCTTTTCAGGACCCCACCTTGATGTTTCGGGACCCCACTTTGGGTCCCGACCCCAACTTTGGGAAACACTGCTTTAGAGGAATGCCAGAGTTTTTGACTAATATTAYCTTTTATGTTGGGAAATATTTGTAACTGTTTTGKTGAAACMTTGAAAATAAMATTACATTCAATTTCATGCAAAATCGTCAAAACCAAAATATCTGTTGTGAATGAMTCAGCTACCACACCAAATCTTAGGTTAATATTTGTAAAACTTAAAGCCATTTTTGTTAAGGTCAATCGACTGTGGCAGTCATCTTGACTTGGGTTGACTTGAAACATTTATCCATGCTTATATTTTAAATGCAGAGGCACATCCAGTGATTATTTTCTGCAAGATTCATTAAAGGTTCTGCGAAAACACTACKGTCCACCTTTTAACAAAATGCCCCATGCATCAACAATAATAAATATAAATCTATTTAGGAAAGAAATAATCTACATGTTTATATTATTTTGAGATTCATGCGTCATTCTGGGTGACGGCTGCARCTTTAGCACCACCTGTGATTAATGACTGAGATGTTTATGCATTTTGATTTTGCTACAGCTTTGGTTCACACCACTGATTAGAAATAGAATGTTAAAAAGAAAAAACACTATGAATAAAATTACTTAAGATGAGCAAATGATGGTATTATACAGACTAAAGCAAGCACTGGAAYATCTATCTGTTTATGGCTTTTATATAAAAATACAGATCACTGTACTGTTTTAAAGACAAAAGAGGGTATAGGAGGCTCTGCAAAGTTTGATGTGTACAAGAAAATAGAAGATTGAATGTCATAATCTGAAAATCAGGGATTCAAGTTCCTCAAATATTTCTGTTGTACTCCATAGCAGTAAAACTATCACAGTGAGCAATACTTGTGTGTGTTATACTGTAAAAATGTTCTTGTTATTTTAACATGAGAGATTAAATACCCGGGTTATCATCAAATGACGTCACACGAAAAGTGACAGGTGCCCCGCCCCTTTTAGGATGGGACTTCCGGTCAAGCCCCTCTTCCTCTCCCCCTCCCTTCGTCCCCCTCTTCACTTCCTCTTTTC